TTAATTATTATATATACTTACACGGGTTCAAGAGAGAAATCAAATGTGTCAGTGTAACAGTTGTGTATTTGGTTTTAATTATTTAATTTTTATTATAAGACTGTACAATATTTAATATTTGTTTAATCGACTGAAAATCTCATTTTATTGGCATTTTAGAAAGAATATTTTCACGAGTTTCAATGTGTAATTATATCGAAAATTTAATTCAATTCGTGACTAATTTATTTTTTATTCATTTATTTTGAATAAAATCCATTGAAATCATTATTTAATATTGTAATTCAAAAAACAAAGTTTTAATAAAATACGATTTAACACTATTATTAGCGTTAGAAGAACTTAATTAGTTTTCAAACAGAACTGATTTGTATAGCATTTATTGAGTCATAGAAATATTAAAATTTTTTATCAATTTAAACTATTGTAATGTTATTAAGGAATTATTTTATCTAGTTAAATAAGAAAATTTTTTTTTTTAAAAATTACTTTAGGGCAATATATTATATTATAATCAAAGTTTTCAAACATCGTTATAACCATATATATCACAATTAATGATTTAATTTTTAAACGTAATGAAACAGAAAATGATAATCAAATATAACATAATTTTAAAAATACAGAATATCATTAAATAACACAAAATCTTTAAGTTCATGATTTGTTATTTAGAAAAAAATTCTTACATTACGTTGACTTGAGATCATTCATCATTTATTCGACAGTATCCCGATGTATCATTGTTTTAAGGCCATGCACTATGGTCGAATGTTGTTCTGTGGTTTTAGTAGTTTGAATCAAATATATATATATATATATTACTATATTACCTACATTATTACCTACACCAGCGGTTCCCAAACTGTGCACAGCGGTGCCCTAGGGGCATCGCAAGCACTATCTAAAGGCACCGTGGTCTACGGTTCATAACAAATAGTTTAAAATTTTTAAAATTTTTAAAATTTTTTTCCTTATTGTTTTTGTAAAAAATTTATATCAAATAATGAAATTTTTTCTATTGTATATTCGGACATTCTCATTTTAATCTTATAATATTTTTATGTGATGATTATAATAATGATAACAATAATTTTATTTATTTAATTTTTAGGTTTAAGAATGCATTAATTTATAATGAAGTTAAATTTTTATAAAATTAAAAAAATTAGTTATCAATGAGTATTTTTTTTGTCTTGTCTTTCATGTTATTTACAGCAGGGCACCGTGGTTAAATTGAGTCCAAAAAAAGACACCGCGGAAAAAAAAAGTTTGGGAACTGCTGATCTACACAATTCAAATTTATTGATTTTGAAATTCTTCGAAATTTTTCTGAAAATGAATATAATATGTAATAGATTCATGTTCGTATCGTACGTATGTTGTTGTATTTATATAGTCAAAAAGTCTATTTTTATTGAATAAGATTTTCTGTACTACTTGAGTAGGCCCCGCCGAGTTATGTAACTATTATCATGTCGAGCAGTACGTTTAATTTTTGCACCAGTTTTATCATATCATCTATATATCCCAGGTATTCGTGTATTATAGCTATTAAGATAAGTCTACTTTAATCCAAGTACTCATCGAAGTTTTATCTATTGTATATGTGTGTACATATTAATTATAATATAATACTAATATTATTGCACGTGCGTTATAACGTTGAGTTTGCGGGGGATAAATCAAACGGGAAGTGAAATGAAAAAACTGGGCTACATGTTTTGCATAATTCTGTCAGATTTTTTTTTTTTTTTATAAAAACACAATTTATTTATTTTCCTAGCTAAAGCCTTTGTTAACATTACAATAAGAACGAACAGGAGAGCGAACGACTCTCATCCGGACGAAGGAACATTCAAATAATCTCATGCAGTCGAGTCGCGATAACTCAAACTTCGATGACTCGAAAAACTTGACTACTCAAATTTTGTTTTATTCCCCTAGAAAATACTTCCCCTATAAATTAGTTAGTTATCTCGAATAATACATATCTCTAAGTGAACTTTTATCCCCTTTCAACTTCGAGTTATCACGATTCGACTGTATTAATCAAAATACCAAGAAAGCGTTGAGAGAAAGAGAGAGAGAGAAAATTATAGTATTATATAATATGGCATATGTTATGTGATATACTGCTGCTTATATTGCGTGAGGTGATTTATTTTTTTGATGTAAAAAATACACCGTTCGATTGTATTCGGTTTTCCAAATATACATTCGTTTATGCTTTCGTCGTGCGGGTAATATTATTTGATAAACAATATATTTTTTAAATGTCATTCATGAACTCATAGCTATTGTATTAAATCATAAATGAACCTTGCAGAAACATCGCCGGTCAATTTGTTGAGATTGCTAGAAAATTCCGTAGGTTTATTTTTATGTTAGTTTTAAAAACATAATACTGTTTATATAAATTCATAGTATACGATGAACAAGCGTTATTAATTAGTTTACTGCCAAGGAATAGTTGTAACGTTTTATTTAAAAATATTAAAAGAACAAACGTTTATATTTGTGCAGTTTTAATTTCACGACGTGTCGCTTGGCGAATTTATTATTTTTTTATTTTACCGATCTACATACGTGGTTGAATACAATAACCATTTTAAAAAAGGTTTTTTTATCGCAAGTAATATGTGTATTTTGAAATATTTACATTTATGACAAAATTTTAATATAGAAAATAAATACGTGATATTTTAGACAGTGTTCCACATAAAGCCACGTGTAATAGACGGAAAATATTATTTTACATTTTAATCGTAGCAAAGCGAGATTTAGCGAGATCATGAACTGGCAAAAATAATCTTTGTATACCTCCACATATATAGAATATTATTTAAAATATGTATATGTATTATTATTTTTTTAAGTTACTCGTTTCCTTGAACGATAATGTGTTTACTATTCTTATTCCAGCGATTCATTGGTATTCGAGATTTCTTATTTTCGCTGTTCTCGAACGTATTCGAGTAATATAATATATGTTCCGTCGAACAGTAGAACGCTGTACATTAAAACGTGTGGCAAAGTACCGATTTCTGTTCCTAGGAAAAGGAAATTATATTAGAACAATTACAAATGCACGTGATGCAAATATAAACGAGTTCAACTTAGTTTTTTAATACAATTATTTGTATACTGAGTCGTCGAGAATGTCTAAGATTATATATTTTTTTCGTTTCCCGTAATAAAGCGTATTTGCCTCGTTCACCTACCTTTCTTTTGCTATTAATCGAAAACAGTGTCAGTCACATTAATTTCAACGTACAAAATCGAATGGAAGTGAAATAACCTTTCAACAGAAATCGTGATCCATTGATTGATTGTTTCGAAAAGAATTAGTATAACAGTCGATCGCAATAAATATGCATAATGATTTGAAATGTACTGTAATTTATAAAATAAAGACCGTGGAAGAAATTGCATTTTTATGAGGTAATTTTGTATTTGTATGGTGGTATTATTCATATAATTTGCGATCCAGCGCCATGCGACCTTCCACATAGACATTTCTATAGGAAATTCATATTACTGTCACTTACACAGGTATGTGCTTCGACCTCGTAATTCGTGTTCAATACTTTTTCAAATTTTGAATGTTTAAGAGAATGTCAGGAACATGTTCAGCTCCCCGTATTAGGAATTTTAACTCCAAATTAAAATAATTTTTTCGTATAATATTTTTGCATTTTGTCCCATTGTTTATGTTTCATGTTCTCTTTTCTGAGATATGGAGTTTTGAAGACGAGTTGGAAAATGTTGTTTTCAGCTTGTAAAGTTCAGACTTGTCAATTTTGTTGAATTATTTAACTGTCTAAGCCATTCATTAATCAAATAATATTAAAATTAATAAAAAAAGGAATAATATTAAAGTTTCATAAGCGTAATGTCACGAACGGTTGAAATCAGGTCGACCAGGATTTAACATTGATCTGTGATTAGAGTTGCGGATAGCAGTAATTACCGAGTAAAATTAACTATTCCAAAAATTAGAGGGAAAATTAATATTAGAGGCAGACCGTTTCTATCTACTACTATACTACTCTGATAGATTAATTAGTCAAAGACACGGTACGCAGTATTTTATTCAATTTTTTTTGTTTTTGTAATATTAATAAGCCTTAAATTCAAATAGATGCTGACATTAGGTATTTAATTTGAATTTTACGTGCTCTTAGACAAGCAAAAACGTTGATTATATCATCAAAAATTATTGTATCAACTAATGTTTATGCTTAATAGATATACTACAAAATTAATTTAAACATTCTTGACTAGTAGTATACTTAACCTAATATAAACCTAGTAAACTTTGACAAATTTTTAATGAATTTTTTAATTTGCTTAAAGAACTTTTTGCTTCTACTGGTTATTGGAATATCGTTGTCAACATATTTATCAGAAATAAGAGATTAATAAAAAGTTGGTTATGCATAGTGGTTGTATAGTTAAACATATAACAAACTTACAAAATATTATAATAAGGTGTTGAAAAATTACAAACTCATATATACCTATAGTAGGTATAGTATATAATGTAATATATTCTAGGAAACATTAATAATTTAATTTCCTTTTAGACGGAAACTAAAATTGACCAAACACACTTACTACGAATACTAAACTCCTTCTACTTATATAATGGCTGTGTCGACTGACTGTAGTATCAAATCGGAAAGCGAAAAAGCGTAAAAAGGTAAAAAGTGTAAGATTGCTGTAGACAGTTTTACGGGGAATAAGGGTTGGATATTTCCTCCTATCTTTGATTAGTGTATGCATGTAGGTTCATAGTTGTTATAATAATCATTAAAACATATTTGTACAACCATTTACTTCTCATGGAGCAATTAATAGAAAAAGTAAGTGAGAAATGTACGTATATATATATATATATGCCCATCACCTTTGGAGCTTTTCAAAAACCCCCTTTGGGAACAGTGGAGCAGTTTGCGATGAACTGCGTGGGTCGTATGCGTACACGTTAGACTTACCAAGCATTTTGACCACTCGTCCGGTGGCCCTGGTGTTGGTGGAACTCAAGCACGCTGTGTGTCGGCAGTGCGCTGAGCACGTGGTTCTGGACGAGTCGCGCTTTGACTTGTACAGTTTGAGTCCGATGAGTATGTACAGGACGACGATCAGAGTCCAAGGAGCCAGGAAGAAGAGCACTGATGACAGTTCGAATGCGTACGGCAGTTTGTTGGCCAGACCACATGTGGACAATTCGGGTATGGTGATGCCGTTCTGGTCCTGCCCGTACACTAGTCCCATTTGAATAGCCTTGGGGATTAGAGAGAGAAAAAAAATTAAAAAGTTGAAACAAAAACTGCACTCATTGATCACGGTGGCGAGGATTGGCTCGGAGGAAAGCAGACGTAATATAATGTAGAAAGCGACAACATTTTTTTACACCTACCCACCACAACGTCGTCGTCGTTGCTGCATACGTACCGTGGTTAAGCCACTTTTCGTTTGTTAAAACTTTGTGAACCTCGGCGTGTAGCGATGCAGTTAGTTTTAACCCCCTCCCCATCCGTATTACCGGGCTAAAGTAAGTTTCCCTTTAAGTTTCATCCCTGTAGTACACAGGCGAATCCGATACCAGTCATGACTTGTATAAAGGTTGTTGCAACTCGTACTCTACATTACATTTACCTACGGAATCATATACATCGTATTTATATAAATATAAATTTTTATGGTTTACACAATATTGTATTCACCACCTACTAGTATTTTTATTTTGTATCGTTTTCTGTGTGACAAATACAGGTTCTGTTTAATATATTTACGAACATAATATGATGTAGTTCATGATTTAGCGTCGGTACGGGCAAGATAGTTTTATCATTTTAGATTTTAGACAAATTGCGTCTAAATAATAAATGTTATATGAACGCATTGTGTTTAACGAGGCTCTTTGATGATTGGTGATTCATAATAGATTGTAAATGTTATATATAAATAATCATACAATTACATTTAAAAAAACTATGTTTTTATTGTTACTCAATAAATGAAGTCAATGTTATAATTATTAATTTATCAACTTTCTACATTTTGTTTTAATAAGTACTCGGTCGCCAAATTATCAAATTATGTTTTTGTATTAACCCATATTAAAATACATTTTTAATACATATTTATGTATTAACTAACTTGTTGTATATTAATTGTATCCATGACCAAGTGCGTAAGTGTCTATTTAAAATGTGACGGGCCAGTCCATTATTTTTTTGGTGGTTCGGTGAACCATAAAATACAACACCAAAACCGCCTCTTATTATTACATTTTATGCATAAGACGTCCGAATGCGTTTTATCGGGTTTCAGGTTCGTCTCAATAACGACATCGTAATCGCTCTGAACATTTTTGTTACTTTTATTTGTTTCTAAACATCCGTATTGTAATTTTGTCAATGATTTTTTATTTTTTTATCGATTGGTTTAAAAATTGCGTACAATAAACTAATCTTATGCCAGACCAATTATTCGTGTCTAGATGCGGTTTAGGGATCTTGAATCTGCATCCCCTGTCTCCTTGTAAATTTTGTCTCATGCTGGGAAATTTGAAATAACAATAAGTGCAACGACGATGTATATATAAATAAATACAAATAAACAATATTTTATACGAAAGAAAACAAGCGAACAGCACATAAATATGTTGTTTATTTTCCAATATATTATTATACGATCTAAAGTATTATATATTGTAGAAAGCGTATAATATCTATATTGAAGTCACCAACGATTTGAGGTTTAATCAATATTCACTTCGTAAATTAACCAATAAATTTCTATTGCAAATGGTTTTGGAAAATCACAGGAATACATTAGCATATTGTGTATTTTTGAACATAGCGTCTTCAAGACGTCTGATGGATTTCTCACGAATAGTTAGCTAGGGGAAAATGGCAGCAATAAACATTACATTTTGTACTTATTTTCTAATAATATAACGGATCTTCGGACATGAAAAATCATGTTTTCAATTGATTGTCACGGTAAAGTTTAAAATAAATTGGGACTGTTGACTTGTATATGTTTGCGAGACCAAACAATTCGCCCTTTTGTGCTTCGATTTTATTTTTACCAGAATACAATTACATACGATTCCCGATTATGGGTCATTTGAAAATGGAGTAAAATGATTTTACGTTCAATTCAAAAGAGAGTACTAAATAACGTATTCGATCTGTGTTTTATTTTTATATTTAATTTTTCCAGTTTCACATACTGTGAATTTTATGTATTGAGTGCTAGAAATCGATGTTCATACTCTTAAAAATATTGTAAAAGTATTTTCAAATAATTTCTTCATAAAGACTGATAATAATACGTATAACAAAATAATATGATCTATATTTATGTATAATCTAGTAAAATTTGATATATTTCTGGGTTAAATTATATGATTTAAAGATTTTTATAATTTGTAATATTCAAATAGTTAAAAGAAAGTAAATACAAAAAAACAAAATATTTTTTTCACGTGAGTCGAATAAAAAGTTCTTAGGATTACGTATTTGAGTGCTTTTCAATATTAGTATATCATTGAAATCTAGAAACATTATAATAATCTATAAACAATTGTCTAATTTAAGTCAAAAATTTATAAATTATAGCTCAAACATAAAAAATTATAAAAATACAATATAAATTATAAATTATTATAAAAAGTCATAAAAAATTTAGAAACTTAAAAGTTTACCTCTGTGCATGTTTTCGTTAGTAAAAAAAATATTTTAATACATTTTAAAATCAACAATCCTTAAATATATATATATATATAAAATTTATTTTAACAAAATTAATTTTTTTGAAGTTTTAGTCTTTTTTTTTAAAAATGACATCAGATATTTTTTTTATACTTTATTTAAATTTATGGTTATTAATAATTAATTGGAATATTTATAGTTTTAATTTAAACAATTACAAATCCGTAATCGTTAAATATTATGATATTGAACACAACTTATTATATTTTGAATGAATAAATAAATAATTAAAAAATATTTAGTTAAGATTTTTTGCTTTTATTAAGAAAACCGTGACCGTACAAGTTTAAGAACCACTATTATAGACTAAGACTATAATAATAGACCAATGTAATTTTCTAAAGCGATGACTTATGTTTGCCTTTAGCCCTTTCACTGTCACCGAAGCGTATTGTAGGATGACGTACTATTACGTTGAAACCTATTAGACCGCTCACTGCCACCGACGAACTATTACGTTTTAATCAATAAAATGTTAACAGAATTTTTTATCAGTTTGCATAAATGTTCACCATCAAGAACAAAAAATAAAATATTTTAGGACATCCAAATTTCGTGTCTAACTTATTTCTCTGGTTTTTATAATTAATTTTAATTTTAATAGCGATTAGTGCCTGCTAAAATGTGAAAAAAAATGATTACACGTACGTGTGACGTATCAGTCATGTCACGCACACATCTTTGAAAGTTATAAATATTTTTTCCATTTTTATTTTGTTTTATCAATAATTTTTGATTTATTTATTAACTTCGTAAGTACTAAATATGATTATTTCATATTTTTGGGAAGTCATGGCTGCATTTCTTGTAACTTGAATTACGAAGTCAATATTGATGTTATAGTTATAGAATTTATACGTTAAATCAGTGGTTCTCAATCTTTTCTGTGTGATGACATCCTAATTTATATCTATAAAAATAGCGACATACTTGAAATAATTAATGGATTCTTATTTAATAAATTAAAACTTAAAAAAATAAGTTTCAATTTACTTAGTTAAAATTTTAAAAGTTCAAAGAAAGTATTATGAAAAACATTATAAGTTATTAAAAATCCAGGCACGCATAGGTCTTTGATTCGTGGGTAAGTGGTTGACAAAGTTTCGCGTAATTTACTCTTAATATCTTTTTTGCTTTTTGTTATTTCCAATATCAAATATGCTGATTCAAACATGTATGAGGATGAAAATAAAACAACATTTTCAATTTTTATTACCCCTGTGTATTCGATTTACTGAGAAATCCGAAATGAATCACTTTGAGATATACAAAATTTGGATTTTAACGTTATAATTATTGATATTTCTAATAAATAAGATTCAATAAGAATATTATTATAATTTTTTTTTATATGTGGCTTTTATTATTTCATCGTAATTCCGTTATAATATACATTCATAGTTTGAAAGCTTATAGTTTTAATTAGTAATATTTGGTGACACACTCCATAGTATTACGTGACATATTAGTGTGTCGCGATACACCGGTTGAGAACCACGGAGTTAAATTATTTAATAGCTTTAAATTAAATTATAACTTAAGAAATAAATTTGTTATTAATTATTAATATATTTCATTCATTTCAATAGATCTATTTAATGTAGCGAAATAAATAATTTATAATATGATGATTCCATTACATACGAACGTATTCATAAATGTACTCGTATTGCAGTATGCAATGGCTAGTAAACGAAAAATATTAAATTTTTGTTAAAAAAACAAGCTTAAGTAATTGATTTTTTCGATAAAAGTGAATTTATTACATACAATTGTTTTTATTTATATTTTCATTATTACAAATATTATATAAATAATAAATATTCTTCATTTGTATACATATATAATATAATATATATAATAATAATAACTATAGTTATTAATTTCTCCGAGTTATTTACTTCTCTCCTTCTGAATAGCGGACACCTCTCAATAACGGATAAAATTACGGCAATCGATAGCGTTAGGTATTTAGAGGTTTCACTCTATATGTAACTGTATGTATTGTAATATTTCACATATATTATAACTATTTTGAGAACTATTCGTATTTCAATACAAACGTTAGCATTAACATTAGTGGATATGGAGATAATAATCATTAATGTCTAAAATCTAATGTAATGTTACCGTTTGCGAGATAAATTGTACGCAAAACGAGCGAATTATGATTATTACGCATAGGCATATGGAATTTCAATTCATTGTATAAAATTTGTTTAGACCTTGGTACACTCGCAGAGTAGGATTTTCTAGATTGTTTTATGGATTATAACAAAAGTCATAATATATTATACTCTCCTCGCGTCATTAAGCGAATCTTCGTTGCTATGACTATTAATAATATAGTTTCTTGGTTGCTAGAAAACCAGAATCGATCACTTCTTCGTGTCGTTTTGTATATCACTTTTTGATGAGTATTTAATTTTCTCGTTGAACAGAAAAATTCAAATTCGGACCGAGTAAAACGGGTTTCGAGTCGGCGGTTCGTCGAGAAAA